ATCCTCTCTGAGCTTCTCTCATTATTCTCCAACTTTTTTTTTTTTTTTTCCAGTTTTTTTGGGGGGAGTGGGGTAGGAACAAGACAATTCCTTTAACTTCCTATGGGTTTTGCATAAATATTTTACGTCTCTATCTGCACGCACCGTCTTTTGGGTAATTTTGTCAGAAAACAAAGTCCGTTCCAGATGCTAAGACAGAGAAGCAGAATAAAACTTGGTGTTCTCTCTTTGGCACTTTCTTCCAAACATTCAGCAATCCACTCTATATAGCTGTGACTAAAGGTAAACTCATTTTCTCTTGGCCACCTGGCAGCTTAGTGTCCTGTTTGTTCAGTCCTTGGTCACTGAGGTTATGGCCTGTGACTTGAGTGCTGCAGCACTGTGACAACTAGAATAACAAACAGCCACAGAGTTGAATTAGATAGAAACAAGTCAGTTTTAAAATGAATGTCACGTTACCTTGAAGAACTCTTACGTGAGGATTTATTGTCATTAAAAACTAAGTGTTTGACTCCGTTGTTCAGCATTTGCATGCGTGCTGCATGGCCTGAATTCAGTGCTCTAAAAAAGTTTCTGTTGTTTGGCATAAAAGAGGTCTGGATCCTGTTCTTTGCCACCCTAGTAAGTCCTGGTTCTGCTGATACATCTCTTGTACCTGGAGCTGGCTCTCCATCTAGCTGAGACATCATCTTTAACTCTTAAAGAACAAGCTTAAGAAAAAAGGTTTTGGCGATGTGACATGAAAATAAACAGCACAAATATAGACCAGCAGTAACAGAAGATGTACATGCTAGGTGTTGAATATAATTTGGAAACCAAACCACAGATGAGAAGTCTTATTTTATTTGGATTATCTTTGCTAATCTCCTGGAGAAGTCAGTAGATGTAAACTAGAGCTGCATCACAGGGATATTCAATCAAGGTGATGCAACATGTATCTAATTGTTTTTTCATAATTACAATGATTAACAGATATTAACATGATAATGACTCTCTTCCTAGCTTAATGTATGTTAACACTAAATTTGAAAGTGGCATACTAATAAATAGGGCTTCTAAAAGAGGCGTGTTGGTAAAACCACAGTTCTATCTACTTGTTTTTCATTGTAATATCAATATATTGAAAACATTTGCACAGGTCAAGTAAGTAATTGTGAAGGGATAAAACAGCATATGAGGTTATAATTACTATGTTAGGTAAAACAGCATCTTCATTGTTGGTTTTTTTCCTTCTAATTAATTGATAGTCCAGGAAGTTTTTCACAGCTGAGCCATTGTGTTATCTTCAGAAGTTAGAAATAAGACTGGCAGATTTATGTCCGTATTCAGCCATGCAGCAAAGTACTGGAAGAACTGCATTATTTCATTCTACTGTTCTGTGAGTTTCTATTATTTACCATGTAAGAACAACTTCTTTGTAATGTCTCCCCTGTAGAAAACTGACAAGTTCATCTTCATTGCCAACCCTTGATTTCCAGTGTATGTTCAAAATAGTTGATGGGTGAAGGAATGCTGGCTGGTTTTATGCTAAGAAAAAAAGCCTCCTCAAGTTCACATTTAGTACAGTACATTTTTTTTTTGCTAGATGGTCTGTTGGTTTCTCCAGTCTTCTCATGTAACACAAGGGAATATTTTGTTTGAATTTCTACAACTGCCTATTTTCTGTGTTCAAAGGAATAGATTCCCTTACATATGGGGTATTTTAAACTGGATAATGTAACTCAGAGTAATAACATATAAAAACAATCTTCTGTGTTGGTTGTTTGAAAGAAAGTTGTTTATGCATTAGAAATATTAGAAACATAATAATCCCATTTGGTAGTTAGTTTTTCATTTGAATATTAAGTTCCGAGTAGAAAAGAAAATGGCACTTAAGTTTAATTGCATGCTTTAAAGAAGTTTTAATAACATATACACCTTTTTAAATATCCCTCAATAATGTGTGCTCTTATTGTCCTCAGAACTACTGGATGTCCTTGTCTTAATGGTTCAAAGCATGTGAAAAATCTTTATCTGGAGGAAACTGAGATTTTTTATTTGTACGTGGTAACACATTAAATTCTATCACCTTTAATTATCTTGATGCCATAATTCACTGCTGCAGATCTTAATATAAAGATTGCTGGGGCAATGGTTTCAGGGCCAAAACTTCAGCCAGACTGTTATGTGTTTTGAAGGAATTATGCAGATACTTACTATCTGAGGGTCTGGCTTTTGGCTGTCATCTTATGAAGTCATCGCTTTCTGTGGACTTCCTGGCATTCGCCTTAATCAAGAGCTGGTGAGGGATAAAAGCCCTTGGCTGATCTCATATCTGCACTTCTTGCATAATCTTTGTACTATGTGTCATCTTTAATCTAACATTGTAAAACAGTTTAATTTATAATGATTTAAAAGATGCAAAAATACATCAAGCTTTACATACATTTGGAAGATCATAGCATCATATAATGGCTTAGATTGGAAAGGACCTTACAGGCCCTCTGAACCCCTGCCATGGGCAGGGCTGCCCCCCACCAGCTCAGCTGCCCAGGGCCCCATCCAACCTGGCCCTGAGTGCCTCCAGGGATGGGGCACCACAGCTTCTCTGGGCAGCTGTGCCAGTGCCTCACCGACCTCTGGGTACAACATTTCCTCCTAACATCTAACTTAAATTTCCCCATTTTTAATTTAAACTCATTTCCCCCTGTCCTATTGCTAACAGACTGTATAAAAACTTGTAAGCTCCCTTCAAGTACTGGAAGGCTGCAGTGAGGCCTTCCCAGAGCCTTCTCTTCTCCAAGCTAAACAGGCCCAGCTCCCTCAGCCTTTCTTCACAGGAAATGTTCTCCAGCCCTCTGATCATCTCCATGGCCACCTCTGGACCTTCAGGAGCTCCACATCCATACTGTAGTGGGATGCAGTACTCCAGATGGGGCCTCCAAGGTCAGAGTAGAGGGGAGCAATACCTTCCCTCTTCTTCCTGGCCGGCTCTCTTTTTATGCAGCCCAGAATGTAGTTGGCCTTCTGGGCTGCAAGTGCACACTTGCTGGGTCATTTCCAGCTTTTGGTCCATCAAGACCCCCGAGTCTTCTTCTGCAGGACTGCTCTCTATGAGTTCTTCACCCAGTTTGTAGTCATATCTGAGATTGCCTTGACCCAAGTGCATTGCCTTCCATGTTGTAGCTCATTAGATTCCGATGGGACAGCATCTCTGGACAGCATCCTTCTCTTCTACTGTATCAACTGCACCACTCAGCTTTGTGTCATCAGAAAACCTGCTAAGGGTATGCTTATCCCACTGCCTGTGGCATTGATGAAGATGTTGAAGAGCACTAATCCCATTATGGACCCCTGGGAGATGCCACTTGATCTTTAGATGATGTTGCTTGCATTGTCCTCACTAACATTAAAAAACTGTGTACTATCTGAAGAAATGAATAATATTGAAGATATTAAAAAAAAAAAAAAAAAGGAATCTGCTACAAATAGCAATTTTGAGCATCACCGTTTTTGTGTTCCAATCAGTTTTTCAGGGAGAGTAATATAAGAACACAAAGCTGCACAGCACAGAGGAAATACTCTTTCAGCATTTTTCTGTTGACTTATACCACACTTTAGCTCCCATTCTTCTAAATCTAGAATGATTTTTTATTATTATTATTATTATTTTTGTTATATCAGCCAAGAATCAGGTAGAATCAGGTAGTATCATTAGGCCTTGTGTTGTTTTTTTTTTTTCTTTCTTTCTCGTTTTAATCTGGGAGAGGTATTTTGAAGAGCTCGTAGCCATAGCAACCAAACTTGTTTTAAAGGCTGCAAAAGGTTCAGCTGTCTGTAGAACTGACAAGATGGCACAACTACAGACAGTGGCAAAATGAACTGTGTGCCTTTTGGGACTGCTGCATGGAAGGACAGACTGTTTTTGTTTGAGTCACTTTTGAGCATGTGTATGGAAATATTCTTTTCTTCCAGATGTGAGTATGAAATAAAGGGTCTCTAGTAGTAAAAATGAATGACTGCTGCTGTGAATTACACTGTAGACTATATTGTGAGCCTTAGTTTTGTGTTACTGCAATCTTTGCTGTGGTTGTGTTTGAGCCGTGAGGAAAAGTGAGCCCAAGTAGGGTGTGGAGGGCACCTTGAAGACAGCTTTGTCTCCCACTAGTAACACTGCAATTGAGTCTCAAAGGTTGTACAGATGAGTTCAGTCCATGAATGCACACAGTGCTCCTTGCACTCACTGTTTGGCTGCTGCTGGAGGAGCTGGGTACAGTATATACTGTCTTTCTTTTTGTTCTGTTGTAACGTACTCAGATGTGTAATGAATGTAAGTCGTCAGTAAGCCATAGCTCCTCGAATGACTGTAATCTTGAGATTTTCTGGTCTGCAAATTTCTGTGATTGCTTTTTTCTACTTGGATGGGAGTATTTCAGGGAGGGTCTTAAGTCTCATTAGGCTTCTTTCCCTTTTCCTGGCTAATATTTATATTTTTTCTAATCTCCTAGCTAAAATTCAGTATTTCCACCATATTTTTCCTTTTCTCTATAGGGTAGGATTAACTCCCTTTTTCTGATTCTAGTTCACCAATGAAAATTGTCCTGGAAGCACAGAGGAAGGTTTAAGTGCTGGGCCACTGAGCCCACTTCGTTTCCAGAGAAATAGTATGTGGTAAATGTAGTGTTGCAATCAAAAGATGCTTAATAAAAATCTGTTTGGTCCATTGCTTTCTTGCTCACAGGGAATTTCATCCTCATTTTATTTTCTTTTACTTTATTTTATTTTATATCTTGGGATAAAGATCAAATCCTTTTCTTACTTGCAGAAACTGTAAGGGGAGCAGAGGTGCAAAAAAATTAGTATTTGTATGGAAACTGCTGAATCAAAGCCTGAACCTCTGATTGATCACCTGAGATGAGCAATGAGCCAGCACTGCAAGTACAGGTGAAGGCAATTCACCTGTGCTGCTGGAAGGGGTGGAGCCTGGCTGCACCCCTCCTAGACCCATTTAAGAGCTGACTACCAGTGGGGAAGGGTCTCTTTTTCTGGACATCCATCCTTTGGAGTTTTGTAGGGAGCCCTGAACAGGGGTAAGTACTCTTATTTATTCTCTTTTAGTGTAATAATTGATTAGCTGAACTCTCTTTTTTATTTCATAATTATAACATCTGTATGTTCATTGATTATGAGGTATCATACCTCCATTGTCAATTTATCTTCCTTAGCTTCTTCTGAAGTCCGTTGTTACCCCCAAGTACCAATGTGTATAGGGCAATATGTTCTCAAGGGTAAGATGTTGAGCATCCCACTAGATATGTGTTTATATGTTGTGTAGATGGGACTTGCGAGGGTTGAACATACAGCAGTTTAGGTTCCCAGCAGACATTCTGAACTCAGTCCTTCTCCAGCCTGTTAGGGTTGCAGTGATGCAGTGACCCAAGTTCAGGTTGGTTAAAACCCAGCATCCTGGCTGAGAAGTGCCTAGGCCATGGAAGCAGTGTGCTTACATGTATTTCTGAAGCTGTAGTTTGATTGTTATGGTATATGTAAGTAAGGTTTTCCAGCACATGTTCACTGTAGTTGAGAATTATTTGAGGCAAACATGGAAGCCTGGCAAACTGTAGCATTGTGGAATAAAGAGGAATCCTGCAGTAGAACAACTTCAAAGCAGAGGAATCTAAGCAAAGAACGAGTCACTTGATTGTACTTCTCTATCATTTGGTTTCTTGAAAGCAAGAAGGAAGAACTGAGGACAAGAAGTAAGAATGAACGTCACTAAAATATCACTAAGAATTTTTGTTCTAAAAGTAAGCTACAGAAGGAGACTATAAATTCTTATGATTAGAGGAATGTGGAATTGTAGATTATTTTTCTTGAGTTCTTATATTCAAGTTTATTTAAATAAGAGGTTGACATAATCTCTATTATGCTTGTGTGTGCATAGCAGTGTATTTGGATATGCTCAGGTGGTAGAAAATGATGGGCCAGTAACTCAGTCACTCTATTATAGCAAGAAAGAATTCAAAACATCCCTATAACATTATAGAAATAGTTGCTAGTCAAAAATGGATTTTCTGGTTTCCAGTCCTGTCAAGTATTCGTTTCAATGTATGTATCTCTGTGTGTGTCTATGTAAATATAGAGATAGTTGCAGATACTTTTGTCTTAGTTCAGGATTAAGGACTCTATGTCCATAAGGCTTCTGGCAAGTGCTTCCTTCCCCCCCAGTGCCTCCCTGCCTGCTCTTCCTCAGGTGTGCAGCAGCACTCTACACTTGCAACAGGAGTGTACACTTGTGGACTTGGTGCTCATCTGAAAAAAAAGTAAGCTGGAATATTGACTTAAGACCTAAGCTAACATAACACAGTAGGTGCAGCAAATACAGTCCCCCTGTATGCTCAGAAGTGTTAGTCTTTTATTCTTGTCTACTTTAGCTTCAATCCTGTCTGCAATGGATTTGTACCAGCTATTTGCAATTCAACTGGCTTCTTGCAGAACACCCTAGTGTCCTGATTGTGCTGATGAAATTAAGGCTGTTCTTGGGAGATAGATCAATTGCCTGCCTCCCATTCCTAAGTAGTTCTTGAGACCACAACAACTGCTGCAAGCATAAGGAGAGCACAAGTGGACATTTAAAGAAGCAGATTTTAAAGGCCAAAGACAGAGCAATGCATTTCTCTGGTCTGGTGCCAGCAGATGGGTCATTCATTACAAGATGAAGAAAATTCTGAAAAACCGTGTGGAACAAACTGAGGGCACAGCACAATAAATGGATCATCAGTACCAGATGGATGCATGCATTTCTCAAAATTCTCATCTTACTATATAAAAATATAGATGGCTGTACTTATCTTGTCCTTAGTACACTTCAAATACTTTGATTCCAACCTGTTCTGACTTCCTTGTCAGTGTAAACTGCAAGTACTAATCGCCTCACTTGACATCAAACCCGTAACACTTAGGTGTGAAGTTAAACTGGCTGAAGATCAGGTTGGCTGCTATGGACATTTTAAATGCATCTACAGAGGAAGCTTAATCTTTGCCATTCCAGATAGCTGTCTTAAAAAGGGATGGATTGCTATCCTTAATCACTCCTTTCTCCTTGCTGAATATATAGAGAATCTAAATGTTGACTTAAGATGATATGTCTAACTCTTAGATGGCTGACTCTAGAGAATGGAAATTCTATTTTAAGGAGGCATGCAAGTCCTTCCATGCAGTACTGTTCTCGTAGATAGCTTGTAGTTAACAGAGTGTAGCTCTTGTAGGCCTGGGATGTAGGTATCTAATGTATTTTGAGGAAGATAATTTAACTGCTCTGTCCAGTACTCTTGGTGTGTATGTTTGGTGCTGGAGGTCTACTGGTCCATTAGGATCCCAGTATGAAAGGCACTCAGAGTCTGTAAGATATTCTTTGAACTGCTGTTTATTAGATCTAATGCTATAAGGACATAATAATGAATAACTCATGTCCCTTTAGATGCTGAGAACCCCAAGTTATGCAGCACCAAAGAAGCATCTGACCCATGCCAAACACTGTGCAGACCCCTTTATTTGAAGGGTACTCCCATGTTGATAATTTCCCAACATGCCAGCTCTTTGCTGTACTTCTAGACAAAGGCAAGATAACCCGAGTGGCGTAATCACTGGTACTGAATGGAGCTGCCAGCAGGCTCCTCTGGTACAGTGAAGCAGCTGAGTTCATCCTGTGGCCAAGGATTTGGGCAGAACAACACAGACTGAAGGCCAGGTGGGATATGCAGTGCAGGAACGTCCTGCGTAGGTTAACTGTTGACTGCTTATGCCTAATGATCTTCCAGTCAGGATTGTGACTGTATCTTCAGAGCATTTTCTTAACAGGTAGCCCCATCTGCTTTTTGGGGAAGCTCTGCAAAGTGCATTAGCTACAAACATGCATTATTCAAGAGCACTTCTGTTCCTCATTGCTTTGCTGTATGTCCTGGTCTCCTTACTCAACAGTTGCTGTCCTGGAACAAGTTAGTGCATGCTGAACTGAGGCATTGCAGAAGTCCTGAACATGGAGTTTTTGTGAAGGAAACTTAAAGCATTGCAGTACTGAATCGACATTTGAGAATAATGCATAGAGCAGAGATCCACGGCAGTCCTAGCCTAGCATAGGAAAGTTATGTTAGCTTGTAACCTTTAATGTCAGGAAAGGAGTTCAGCGTTGAACTGTGCATGCTCTGTTTTTCTGAGAGTCTCAGCATGACTTACTGAGTCAAACTGACATCTCTTCCTGGAAGGCAGGTTCCACTTAAGACTCCTTTGTGGCTCACACACTCTAGCTTGCACACGCGCACATTTAAAGGTGAATGAATGGCTCTGTGTCTTTTGAAATGCTACTTTCCTACCTATCTACTTCAACAAGTAAATAGTTTTGTGTCAAGTTAAAGATCAGAGTGCATTATTCTGCACTATCGTATTCATGGCATGGAGACAATCATTATGGCAGATTTCCTTCTCTGAAGACTACTGCTATGGCATTTAGCTAGGACACAGAAATTCTATTGAAAAGACAGACTTCTTCTGTTACTGAGGCTTACTGTCTAGAAGTGCTTTTTTGGGAGAGCAATTTGAAAGAAATCATCCTGAGCACTTGAGCCATTTCTAACTGTAGACAGCTGTTTAGATCTATTTCTGACCACCACAGAGCCAACAGGAAAGCGACCCTGACTCCTGTGCAGGGGTCTTATGTGACTGATGATGGGGCCAGGCCAGGGGCCTGCTCCTGTTACCTGTCCCCCTGTCAAGGAAGAAGCATTGCTGCACTTGTGTTTTCCAGAAGAGGTGATGGGCCATGGCAGTGGGACATCTGGGATGCCAGCAAGGAAGTCAGGTTGGCCCTAAGTAAAAGTGAAAAACATCACCTGGATGTAAATTGCCTTTGTAACCTGGCGTTCACTTATTGCATCTGTTTGCAGAGGGACTGGGCTTTTTCTTGGTGATGGACTGACAAATTAATAAAGAAGATTCAGTGTGGATCAGATAGAATTGGAGCTGAAGGTTTCAGCAGCAGCGTGAGAGGCCTGAACAGTGCCATCATGTGAATTCAGAAGGCTCAGGGTGCATTACAGTCATACAGGAATTCATGGAGTTCTGTAAAAGACTCACAGTAGGGTTGCATGGTGAAGGCATTTGGCTTTTGATCTGAAATGTGCTGCATTTAACACCCTACTCAAACTGATGGTATGGGGCCAGAGCAATGGAAATCTGTGCCCTAATATGCAATTAAGTCATATTATGGGCCTTGCAGCCAAATTTAATGTAAACAGAAAGATCAGAATTTCCTTTTCCAATATTAGAAGCTTTTAGTAGAAAAGAAAATAAGGCCAAAAATCATACTTATTTTTAATTATTATTATTTGGAAGAGAATATCAGTGTACAGCATGGCAAACACAGCTGAATGAGAGGATTTTCATTTGTAATTGGCTTGAAGCTTTTTTTTTTTTTTTTTTTTTTTAACTAGGATCTCCTCTACCACGGTTTGGTAGTAGTCAGAGGCTGAGGAGTGAGGAAGCTGCCCATGCTTTTTATTTACAGTAGCATCTGTAGCGTCAATTTAGTAGATTAGTAGGTGAAGTCTGTGCTCTCAAATCCCTGGGTACTGCCTGCCTTTTAACTACATTTCTGGCTTTTCATCTGATATTCCTACCCTTGTTTACAGATTCTTGATTTTTATTTTGGTAATTCATTTTGGCTTCAGACATTATTCTGGACTATGAGCTTTGATCTCTTACTAGGTTAATAAGAAAGAAAGCATGATTTTAGGTTTGCTCAAAGAAAGCTTGGCCATGATTATGTGGGGACGTCTTAGAACTCGAAGTTTTAGTTTCATTTGATGTTTTTCTGTATTGCTTGCCATCTCTATCTGTATGTTTGGTGGCACAGCTAACTTAATCTTCCCAGAGTCACTGATTCATTCACAAGTTTATTGCTTGGATGAATCTCAGCTGTATTCACTCCTCTCTATGCCTTATTCTCAGACTTGGTCATTTCCTCCTCCTTTTTTTTTTTTTTTTTTTTTTTTCCCCCCCCCATGCATTTATTAAAGTGCAAACTTTAGTCCTT